AAGAATCACGTATCCACTAAACTACAGCACATTGAAGAAAAAATAAAGTACCTTTCAAACCTTCACAAAAAAGAAGAAAAATTGACTTTCGATGTGATGGCCTACAAGTACTCTTTTCTTTTGTCATGGAAACTAGCTGCTTCGGTTTCCCAGAACTCTCAGTTCCAACATCTATTTACTTATTTATGACAAGAGTTTCACATAGCCAAATCTGGGCTATAGCCTTGAACTTCCGCTCCGCCTCCCTGGTGATGGTTTTATAGGCGGGCGCCAACATGTGGTGTTGGGGACTGAGCTCATAGCTTTGTGTATACCAGACAAGCACTCTTCCAACTGAGCTACAGCACTAAGCCCTGTTTTTTTGAGACAGAGTCTTATTCTATGGCTGAGGCTGGCCTTACACTCATAATCCTCCTGCCTCAGGTTAGTATGGTTTTTTTTTCTATTTTTTTCATACAGCTGCAGCTTTAGGCTCTGCATTGAGATTAGGGGGTTTCTGGCTGGTGAATTATTTAGCTTTATCTGGTTCAGAAGGTTATTTTGTGTCTGTTCTTGAAAGGCGTTTTAGCTTAGAAAATAATCCATCCGCAATGACAAGAAGAAAACACAAAATTTGTTGTTGAGAATTCTGAAGTTCTTCATACCTTTGAACCCGACAGGAAGATGGGATGCACGTGACATGACGTGAATGATGGTGATCATGTACATACATGTTTATTACGTCACACAAATATGTGCCAGGCATTAGTATCTGGACAAACCAACCAGAAGTTTCAGGTAAGAAGCGCATCGATGATGTTCACAGAGATGACAGAGGCATCTAAGAATCAGCAAAGAATCCACGAGAGTATCTGACTTATTGCCTAGGTACTGTGGTTAAAGTAGCACCTTTAACCCTCCCAGCAATCTTTGGCAACAGTTATCGCCCCTAGGTAAGGAATGCCCGAAGAAGGAACCACTCAATCAAACTGTCAGTGTTTAGAGCGGACACGGCCTTCACTTCTGCATAGCAAAGCTCCAGGCACAAGAAGAATGGAAGAAACAGGGGAAAACATTCAGCAAGAGCTACTCGGTGGCATCGCTCTCCTCGAATTCACAGGAGGATTAGAAAACAGGGTGTCCTCCAAAGAAAAGAACAAGACAGAAGGAGATAAAAGGGACTTGCTAGAGAAGTAAAACCAGGGGCCGAGGGTGTCGTTCAGTGGTGGGGTGCTTGCCTAGGTCACACTAGTCCTGCGTTCGATCCCAGTGCTGACAAACAAAAACATTTGAGAAGAAAAGTGTCGGATTACCCAGAAAGTGTACACCTATAGTCCTGCAACCCAGTGTCAGCAGGGTTGCCACAAGTTCAAGGTCAGCCTGTTCTATACAGCCAGTCCCAGGCCAGCACGGCCTAGAGGCCCTGTCTCAAAAGGACACACACACACACACACACACACAGACACAGACACACAACCGACCCAACAAATCATAAATAAAATCCAAATTCTCTTCATTGAGAAGGCTCCTAAAATATGTATGAGCATATCACAATAAATAAGAGGCTCAGGCCGCTTTCTTTTAGCATATACTAATTGTACAAAGTAATGGGTTTCACTGTGACAAGCATTTTGTGTATGCCAATGTTCTCAACTCTATGACGATTACAGGTTGGTGTCAGGTTGGGGTTCTTCCTCCACTGCTCTCCACCTTAATTTCAGGATCTCTCTCTCTCCTCTCTCTCTCTCTTATTATGTATACAGTGTTCTGCCTCCATGCCAGCAGAGGGCACCAGATCTCATTACGGATGGTTGTGAGCCACCATGGGGTTGCTGGGAACTGAACTCAGGACCTCTGGAAGAGCAGCCAGTGCTCCTAACCTCTGAGCCATCTCTCCAGCCCCCACACAACAGGACTGCTCATTCAATCCGTAATTCCCCATACTGGCTAGTCTGGCTGGCAAGTGAGCCCTTGGGATCCACTTATTTCCAAACCCTCCCCAGGTGCTGAGGAACAGACACTGCTGTGTGCTCACCTCCTGACTTTATGTGGTGCTAGGGATCTGAACTCAGGTCCTTATGCTTGTATGGCAGGCGCTTTATCCACTGAGCCAACTCCCCTACCCCTTCATTGACATTTCTACAACCACACGTGTGTACGTGTACGTGTGTGTGTATGTGTACATGCAAGTGGTGGCCAGAGGACAACCTTGGGTGTCATCCCTAGGAACACTATCCACATTCCCCGATACTTACGGTCTCTCATTAGCCTGGACCTCACCAATTAGGTGGGCTCCAAGGATCCTCCCTCTTCCCAGCGCTAGAATAACAAGATCATATCACTACACCTCGAATTTTTATGTGTGTTCTAAGGATCAAACTCAGGTCTCTTTGGTTCCTTTGGCTCCTTTGTATTTCATACATGAATACAATATACTTTGATCATGTTGACACTCTATTACACTTTTTTGTCCCTTTCCCCATCACATTTTGTATCTCAAATATTCTCCCCTGTGCTTCGTGTGTGTGTGTGTGTGTGTGTGTGTGTGTGTGTGTGTGTGTATCTTGACAGGGGCTCATGGAGCAACTTGACATGGCATAGAGTCATCCAGGAAGAGGGAACCTTAGTTGGAGAACAGCTTTGAAGGGATTGGCCTGTGGTCATGTCAGTGCTAGGCTGCCTTCACTGACAACTGATGTAGGAGGACCCAGTCCACTGTGGGCGGCACCATTCCCCTCAGCAGATAGGCCTCAGCTGTATCAGAAAGCTGGCTGAGCTCAGCCCTGTGAGTGAGCCAGCAAACAGCATTCCTCCCAGTTTCTCTGTCAGTCTTGACTTCCCTCAGTGACGGACTGTGATCTGGACCTGTAAGTCGAAACGAGCCCCGTCCTCCCCCAGGCTGCTTTTGGTCATGGTATTCATCACAAGCAACAGAGACTAGGATGGCCCTTCCTCTTAGTTAACTGATAAACTACTCTGTCTAGGTTGCTGACTGGGCGATCAACCGTTCCTGAGGAAAAGAGGTGTGATGTAGTGAGCTGTGATGTTTATAACCTGTCTGCCTGCACAGACTGGAGGGATATAGCTGCCCTTTCTCATTGTGCATTTGCTTTAGACCCTGATGACTTAGATTCCTACAGACAGCTCTGGGCTTGGGGGACCCCTCTCCCAATTCTGTGTTATCATTCTCTAAAACCAGGTCTTCCAGGTGGAGCTCAGGTTTGGGGGAAATTAAGCAAAAACTGGATGAGGAGAGCATATAAAGCTGGCCAAGCTGCTCACAGTGATGGGCTGTAGCTTCCTGTAACCGTGCAGTGTCTACTGAAACAAGAGTGCTATTATGAGAAGTTGGCATTCTCAGCTACTAGAGACTTCTGGGAATGGAAACTGAAGCAGTTCATGGCAATGACCACAACCCAGAAACTGAAACCACACTCTAATTCTGCACAAGACCGACAGCTCCGGCTGCTTTCATTGTGTCTGACTATGAGGATTATACTCAGTTGTAATAAAACATCTTCAGAACAGACTGGAAGCCATGTAAGCCTTCCGTCAAAATGTCAGTACAAACAACTTAACATTCTAGTTAAAATACCGTCTCTAGGATCAATAAGCCAATACCACTAGGAATACAAAACGGAGACACTATCCTATGTGGCTCTGAAGGACAGGGCAACGGAAGACCGAGAGAACAAAGGGGATTTTTTATTTCTCTCCCTTTCTGATGACTAACTATGCAGCTGACTGACCGGGTACTATCTAGGCCAGGCTGGCCTTCAAATTGTAGTAGTGCTCTTGCTTCAACTTTGACAGAGTCCTGGGATTACAGGCAGAAAACTTGACCTTTTTTCCCCCTTGAGAAAAAAAAATTGGACTTACCATTTATGTGAATGCTGTGCCAAATCTGGGAATTAACAATACGTTAAAGAACATGCTGGAGCCGGGCGGTGGTGGCGCACGCCTTAAAACCAGCACTCAGGAGGCAGAGGCAGGCTCTGAGAGTTCTAGGCCAGGCTGGACCGACAGCCTCCAAAATAATACAGAGAACCCTGTCTCGTAAAACCAAAAAAAAAAAAAAAAAAGAACATGCTGGAAGCATATTGTACAGGCAAAAACTAACCACTGATCTTACTGAACTAACATGCTGTTGGGACTGGTTACTAAGAGCTTACACCTGTTCAGCCTTTTCATAAACAAAACAAAACAAACAAAAAACCCTATTCTTTCTGAGAAATAAAACTGTTTCAGTGAATGAGTAGACTGAAATCCTAAGTTTAAAAAGGAAACTTTCCTTCCAGCCTTCCTTTTCCTTGTTTCAAGACAGATTCTCACCACGTAGTCCTAGCTGGCCTGGAACCTGCTATATACATTAGGCTAGCCTTGGGATCCCCCTGCCTCTGCTTCCCAAGTGCTGGAGTGACAGGCGTGCACCGTTAACAGCTGTCAGCTTCAAGTTCACCAACAGTCACTTGTGCCAGCAGTGTGACACGGCACTTCATTCCTGGAGCAACGGGGACTTACTGCTTGGCTCGGTATAGGGCATGGATAAAAGCAGTTACTAAAGAGGAATAAATGGGGAGGGGGGATGGCAAGAGGGATAAAAATGGGTAAAGGCGCTTGCTGCCAAGCCCGATGAGCCTCAGAACCCACATAGTGAGCGGAGAGGACTAAGTAGTTCAAGTTGTCCCCAGGCCTCCGCTCGGGTGCGGTAGCACTGGCATACTTGTGTGCCTGCGCACACACACACACATGTGCACACACATGTGCACACACACGCTAAGTATGCACGGATGAATAAATGACTAAGTGAATGAAGGAATGCTTGAGAAAACAGGCTTTAGGAATGTACGTTCCGTCACAGCTTCAGACGACTGATCGTACCGTTCATTTCAGCCTGCGTTCTATAGTAAGTTTGTAACTGGAAACGACAAGCGAAGCTTCAGGAGGGAAGCCCTCGCCCTTCGGGAGGACAACCTGGGGCTGGCGGTGTTTGAGCACACGCTGCACGCAGGGGAAGAGGGTGTTTTTAATGCAATTTATTTGAAATGCTTCCAGAGAATTTTAAGGCCGTTATACAAGAAGTATTCATTTCACCAAAGCATTCGCCCACTCTCTCCCCATAGGCTGACCCTGACAGAGACCTTTTCGTAAGTCACTGGCCAGAGTGGCCAGCAGCAGCTCTACAGAGAACAGCTCGGGTTTTCACCACCATCCAGTGTCCTGTCTCGGCTTTCTCTCCGTTTGTGTGCAGCAGACTCATTCACTAAATCAGCAATTTGAGAAACAAAATGGTTTTAAATAAACTTGCAATAAAAAAAATTCACCACGGTTAAAAATCTATAAATACAGAAATATGCTTTACAGGGTACAACCGATCATAACATTTGTTTTGAAAAAAATAATGCAATAATACCTTGTTTTTCTCTTGGTAACTCTCGACACGTAGCTTCTTTCAGTGCACAAGGCACGTGTACATGATAAAGGGATCATTTTGTATTTTGCTGCTTTCTTTTCTGTAAACTTGATAGGTGCAGAAACTAACAAAAAGAAAGGTTTTTGGCAATAATTTAGAATCACTACTTCTAGTGCTGGTGTGGGTATAATTTTGTACATGTCCCCTAAGTATTTACACTTGCAGGGAGCGGTCCCATGTATTTTGTGAACTTTTCCCCCCCTCCAAGGTCTTTTTTTTTTTACCCGTCCTTGCTTTGTAAACCAAGGCTGGAACATAGAACTTTCCTGTTTGGCTAGCTAGCTGATCCTAGTGAACCAGAGCTAATGAAATAGAGCTCTGGAGGAATTAACCATCATTCTGATTATAGCTTAAGAACCAGAGACTCAAACTCAGGGCCCAAAAGCAGAGCCGGAAATCCCAAGATCCTCTAGACTAACGACAACTTCAGTGGCTCTCACAGGAGGCTTCGGTGGTGGTGACGTTATTTCTGACTCCCAAGGCCTTCTCTCATGTTTGTAAGCAGAGTCACCAACGCAGTCACCGTCTGTGTCGCATCATTTTGAGTGGCTGAGGCGGAAGGAACGTGGGGCAGACAGTGTCTCAGAATCCTGGCAGATGGTTCCTAGTCCTGGGAATCTCTCCTGGCGTTGCAGGCTGGAAACGGCTCTCTTTGACAAGCCACTAGCTGTGACAAACACCTCCCACACCCACCCACCCCACTTCAGTTGGATGTTCAGAGCTGGCCGGTACTTTTAGCTTTTTGGTTTTGTTTTCCCAGCAGAACTCAGTTTGACGTAGAACTTGGTGCACAGCCAAGGCTGTTCTTGAACTCCAGACCTCCCCGCTGTATGCTGTCTCAAGGGCTGGGGTTGTAGGCCTGCGCCACCAGGCCCTTCCAGCGGCTGCTTTTGCCTTGGCCTTGCTGAAGCCCGATTCTGTGTCATGTCTGATTATCACGCTCAGCTTGCACTGGATGAGACCACAGGGTTCGAACGAGGCTTCCTCCTTTGCAAAGTGAAACCTCAGAAACCCCCAGAGATGTTTTCTGGTTGAACAACACAGGGCCCGAGTTCACGTCAAGGGTTGGACTTTCCTGGTTTTCGCTTGGGCTCCATCTGCAACGCTTTTCTCAGTTCCAGGTCTTCAGCTACTGTCTCGAGGAGCTACAGGGACACCAGAGAAGCATGGGACAAAGGACTTGTCACACAGTCCATACAACAGCAGTAGTTTAGAGGTCCTTCATTCTCTGAAAGACCCAGAAGGGTGACTCTCCACTCACCCAGACGCTTGTGAGAGAGAGCGATGGGGGAGGGGCTGCCGCAGGCCCCAGCTGGCAGAGGGGCCGGCAGTTACGGTACCAGGGACAGGATGCAGACAAAGGGACTCGTGTGCGTGGGCACAGAAGCGTCACAGCGTGCCTCTCCAAACTGTTCGTGTGTGGAATGCCAATACTGAGCAGGTTAAGGCGCAGGCACAACCCTCTGTCAGACAGTCTCCTCCGGCCTGCTGTTCGCACAGGAGGCCTCTGTCTGCTCCATCCGTTCACATTCAAGGCTGACCTCACTGGTGTCCATACTGCAGTCCGACTCACTGTCCGATTGGTCCATCTGCTCAAGTTTGGTTTCTCCTCGTGGCTCCCTGGTCTCAGTGCCGGGCTCCGGGAGCAGCCCCTCAGAGTCAAGCAGCCCTGCCTGCCCAGCAGCGCACAGAACTTTCTCTTTGGCTTGCCTGATGCAGTTGAGCCACTGCTGCTTGTTGAAGGTGTCATTGGCTTGTAGTGAGTGGGTCTGACTCTGGGATCCGTTTCTGAAGCTGACTCTGAAGAAGTTTTTAACTAGAAACGAAGAACACATGGAGAGAGAGTCAGTGTTTGCCGAGGCTAACGATGCCGCCCACAGCGGCACTACACCCTGGGGCCCACGCCAGACACTGCCGATTACAGAGTGCGTCCCTACAGATGCAGGACTCAGTCAGTGCTCTCCTGACATCACTCCCTGTTGACTAGAGAGACACAGGCCTAGCCCAGGTTCCCTGACGGGGCTGACACAGGCCTAGCCCAGGTTCCCTGACGGGGCTGACTACTACATCTGCCTAGATATTAGACGTCCTTGTGAGGGGCTGGAGGGAGGAAATTGAAGGGGAGAAGTGATACAATTCTATTTTTACATTATTATTATTATTAATTTTGTTTTTTCAAGTCAGGGTTTCTCTGTGTAGCAGCTCTGGCTGCCCTAGAACTCGCTCTGTAGACCAGGCTGGCCATAAACTCACAGAGATCCACCTGTCTCTGCCTCCTGAGTACTAGGATTAAAGGTGTGCACCACCACTGCCCAGCTCAATTATATTTTGATAAAAGATACAGGCCCTGTCTTAGAAAAACAAAAAGAGAAATAACCCTATCAATCTCTGTCTACTCCACTATTGCCATTAATTTTATTATTATTTGGAGACAGGGTCTCACTATGTAGTTCTGGCTGGCCTTGAACTCGATACGTAGATCAAACTCACAGAGATCCGCCTGCCCCTTTCTCCTGGGTGCTGCTGGGATGAAGATCCTAGGCATGTATCACTCTGCCCAGATTGGGTTTTAGTTTTCTAAGCAGCATTAGGAATGCTTGACCATCGTATACTGTGCACTCCACAGGAACACGAACTGTAATGCCTTGACTTATGCACCTAAAACAGTGCTCACTACATAGCGATGCCTGACGGAGACTGCTATATTGGCTTCCCATGGTCATATCCTTTAGTTAGCCAAGCCTTGCTGTTAGAGATTGAGTAGTGCTGCAGGTGAACATGTACCCCAAGCTCATCACTCATTTTGCTTTTGTTTTCTTCTGAGGTAGGGCTTTCACTATGTAGGCCAGGTTGGCCTCCAACTCATAATCCCATGTTGGGGCCATGGCAGCTGGGCTCTGGTTGACTTTCCTTAAGCCTCTTCAGCAACTACACCAGAACAACTACAAAACTTTACACCATGCAACTAGTGCCCACACAGAGACTGTACGGTAAGCATTCTTTCATGTAGCAGTAGGAGACAGAGCCAGGGAGCAAAAGATGTACCAGCTACAGGTGCTCAGGGATGGGCTCACGGACTGCACGCCACCTAGTGCTCAAAGCCATCACAGGCCGGGTGTTGGTGGTGCACGCCTTTAATCCCAGCACTCGGGAGGCAGAGGCAGGTGGATCTCTGTGAGTTCGAGGCCAGCCTGGTCTACAGAGCCAGTGCCAGGACAGCCTCCAAAACTACACAGAGAAACCCTGTCTCGAAAAAACCAAACCAAAACAAAACAAAACAAAGCCATCACAGAAGGAAAGATGGGAGACTGAGGCTCACAGAGGGGCGGAACTCGACTGCACACCAGTGAGTGAAGAAGAGTCATCACCGGAGCACAGCTCGGCTTCAAGGCTCTACTCTCCCCAGCCAGCCGCTCCTTCCACAGTTTCTAAGATCAAAGGGTTCAATGCAGTCAGCTCCCCCCACACACATACTTCTCTCATTGTTGCTGAAGGCCCCACGCAGAGAACCGCCCAGCCGCACTTCTCCATCCTGCAGGTCTTCCAGCATGAGGTCCTTCACGGGGATGGGCTGCCGGTACAGCTGGTAGCAGAGTTGCTCATTGTGAGTGATGGCGCGAGTGATCACAAGCACTTCTTGGAACAGGAAAACATGTAGTTTCTACAAGAAAAGAGCCCACAGGACTGTCCTAAGCAACAATGTAGCAAGCGGTCAATTTCTGGGTCTCTGCGGCGAGAGGTCTCTAGGAACTGAGTTCAGAGCAGATTATGAACCCACGCTCAAATCTGTTTCTAGGAAAATACAAGTGGACAGATAGGAGGCATTTCCAGATATATATATCCACGCCTTAATACAGGTTCCTCTTTTGGAACCCACTAGAGCAAGGCTTTCTACAGATAGCTCTAACCAGAACTCTACTTATATTACAATTCACAACCTCTCCATACACATTCAGTCTCCAGTTTGACTAAGAGAAAAATAAGGGAACAGAATGAACAGAACGGTGAGAAGGAATTAATGCTCTCCTGGCTTCAATACAATTCTAAGAGATCAAGTTAAATAATAGTCTACAAAGGATGAGACTATATCAAATCCTAATAACAACTCTGGCTTTCCCAAACCCATAAAAAACATGTTTCTTCAACCACTGGGCTCATTGTCAGCTTTAACCAGCAACTCTGGCTGGCACCCTGCTCATCAGAGAGGGACCTGGGCACACTCCTGGAGACAGAGAAAGGTGACCTGCGTGTCCTCAGTAAGTTCATCAGCTTACAGGGTGGAGGGCCGATGCGTGTGACGGGAAAAAAGAAAATCTCCAAAGATGAAGGCATGTCTCAAACCACACGGTGACAGCATGCTGCCTCTGTGGAGCTGAGGCAGAGCATCTTAGAAAATGAAGGCGTGCCTCAAATCACACAAGGAGAGTAGGCTTCCTGAGCGGGGCTGGCGCAGATCTGTGGCGTTTAAGCTCTGAGTACCAGATCCTTCTCTCAGTCTGCAAAAGGTTCAGGAGTGAAGGTGCAATGATACAGCTCTGATGCTAGGCTCTGGCTTTCTGGTGGAAACATGTGCGGATGCTAATCCAGGACCCTTTAAAAGGCCACCAGCAGGAGAGGGGCAGAGACTCAAGATTAGGATCTGGATTTGAGGAGGGAAGCACATTCTACATTACCAGTGATTTGCTATCCGAGAGAAAAGCAATCTGTAGGTCTCCTACCACACACATTCTACATACTGCAGAGGCGAAAAATTCTACCAGACTTAGGTGGTAGGGATGGATGCCTTAAAAGACTGGCTGGGAACACAGCTCTGTAGTCCTACCAGTTAGGAAGCAGAGGTAATATATTGCAAATTCAAGGTGAGCCTGGGCTATACGCTGAGTTTGAGTTTAACCTGGGCCACCTGGGGAAGACTCCATTTCAAAATAGACAAACAAAAATTTAAAAGAATGTTCAAAGATCATAAAACTCTAAGCACAAAATAAATAAGTTAAAAGCCCTCCTCTCCCCCACCCCCAGGGGCTTCCTCTCACAGAGGTAGTGGTTATAGATATGTGTTAATTTGTCTTTTTACGGGTAGGGGAGAGAGAGAGCGGTGGGCCATTGTATTAGGATTTTGTTTCTTTATCAATAGATCTTCTAGTTGAGGCAGGCAGTTTAAACTGGGATCGTTTGGGCAATGTTTTTAAAATATCTGTCATGCTGGCTCACACCTTTAATCCCAGCACCCTGGAGGCAGAGACAGGCGGGTCTCTGTGAGTTCGAGGCCAGCCTGGTCTACAGAGTGAGATCCAGGACAGCCAGGGGCTACACAGAGAAACCCTGTCTTGAAAGACCAAATAAAATAAGGTAAAATAAAAAAGTAAAATATCCACCATTTATGAGCCTTCACCGACAACCGGCTCCCTTTTGCTCCCATCCTGACACAGGACTTTGTTCATAATAATCATGTCCACACCCTCAGCTAGAGCCAAACCCAACAAACCTCCTGCCCGACTGCTGTCTCTATTCTCGGAGCTCCCCTGCCTGCAGAGCTCATCTTTCTGCCATAGATACATCCAGTCAGAGGGGCTGAAAGCCTCGACTGGTGTGTGACAACAGGACCGTCGGCTGGGGAGCAATGCTTCTTCCTGTTTCTCAAGACTTCCTAGAAAGAACTTTCAAGGGGCTGTGGACCCGTCGGTAGCTCTGTCTTATACGCACGGGGCCCACATGCCAGTCTCGGTGGAACCATTACGAATGGTTTGGCTGAATCCACAGGAGCCCCGGTAACACGCTATGCAATATACTCTAACAGCCAGGGGGCAATCCCAGACTCGGCCACAAATACTGAAGGGGTGTCTCTTAAATTATCACATTTAATCAATCTTCTCCTAAGCTAAATACCTTTTCTTTTGGAGAAGGTTTTTCACTATGTACCCCGGTTGACCTGGAACCCGTTATGAGGCTCAGGCTGGTCTCATACTCTCTCTCTGCAGCCCTGACGGACCCTGAACTTAAAAGCTTCCCCCGCTTCAGCTTCCCAGGTGGCTGGGATCATGGACCTGTGCCGTTAGGTCTGGCTCGCTACTTTCTGAAGTCAAAGTGGGACACATAGTGTATGCCTGTGATCCCAGCTGCTGGGGAGGCAGGAGTATGGCTTGACTCATCCTAGTGGGCAGCTTAACTGAGACTCTGTCTCACAGTCCCAAAAATGTGCAAAGAGAAGGTTAGGAATGCACTCAGTGGTAGGCTGCTTGCCTCGTGGCAGCAGCCAAGGTTAAATCCTTTACCACAAGAAAAAAAAATTAGAAAAGAAAAGCTGGGGCGGGGGCGGGGTTGGGGATGGGGGCGGGGTTGGGGTGGAGGCGGGGGCGGGGCGGGGGTGGAGGGGGTCTAGGGATAGGGGAAGCACCAGGATAGGGCCCCGAGGAGAGTAACTACTTACCACACCCCGGTTATTTTTCAGTTCGCCGTGACAACACAGGACCCTTGAGCTGTCAATCAGGGAATCTTTTTGGCCTTCTTCCAAGTAAAGAAGCCGCTCTTTGTAATAACGGCATTCCGACTCCCCAGTCTTGGTGTTGATTTCTGCCACAATGCCCTGAATGATGTTTATCTACGGAAACAAAGAATGGTAAAAATGGGGGGAAGTAAGCCAAGCACCCACAGCCACAGGCTTAGAGCCAGCCTCCAGGCTACCCAGACACTACTGCACCTAACGCTGAAAGTGAGACATGTGGTCACTGTGGGAAAAGGGGGCGATGGGGAAGTCCTTCTGTGTGTATGTTTGTCCTATTGGTTGATGAATAAAACACTGTTGGCCAATAGGGAAGAAAGATAGGTGGGACTAGGAGTAGAGGAGGATTCTGGGAAATATAGTCAAGGGTAGATGGTCACCATGTGATCCCGGGAAGAGAGGACGCACGAGGCTGGTGTCTTCGGTAAGATAAGACCTTATAGAAGTATGCATATTAGTAGTTATGGGTTAATTCTTAAGACAGAACTAGCCAATGAGAAGCCCTGGACACTGGCCAACAGCAATGTAACTAATAGAGTCTCTGTGTGTTATTTGGGGTTGACACAGCTCTGGGACCAGGTTGGCAGGAAGAATGCTTGTTACAGGGGGGTAAATAAAGATTTTTTTTAAAGGGGGAGGCAGATTCTCACACTAAATCTAAAAGTGATGGGTGATGTCATCTGAGTGGAAGAGGGTACAAAGTAGTCTTGGATGCTTAAGAATTTACTCACGCTGCATACCCACAATCCTAACGCTCAGGACCGAGGCAGGAGGGTGCTCGTGACCAGCCTGGGTTGCAAGGCAAGTTCCTAGGCCAGTCCATAATGAGACCCTGTTTCAAGAAACCAATACCTAGCAAACACTCCACACCAAATGCAAACCAAACCAAACCAAACCAAACCAAATGTAACAGAACTGAATGGATCCAAATCAAATGGGAGACACCCGAACAGCTGCTTAATGTTTTTTTTTTGTTTTTTTGGTTTTTACGAGACAGGGTTTCTCTGTATTGTTTTGGAGGCTATCAGTCCAGTCCAGCCCAGCCCGACCTCGAACTCACAGAGATCCGCCTGCCTCTGCCTCCCGAGTGCTGGGATTAAAGGCGTGCGCCACCACGGCCCGGCATGCTTAATGTTTTAACTCCTTAAGCTTTCTAAGTTGTCTGTAGGCAGTGGAATCCATACATCCCTTTGAAAAAGACCTCAGCAGTAATGGCTATGGCTTCTTACTGGTGAGCCATTTACTAATCGCTCTGGGACAGGGGAGCTAGCTAATCAACACTTGAGTCAATGTTTACAGTTTCCTGTAAGTGCCCAGGAAACCCAAAAGGATCCTCACCACAGATATAATGGGCTCACTTCCTAATTTAACTCAGGAACTGAACAGCCAGCCTGTCATGCGAGGAGTTACAAACTCAAATGCTACAGTGGTTCCTCGAGTAGCTCTGACTGCTTTCACACACAGCTGCCTTCTCGGGTATGTGAAAAAATGTTCACAGGCAAGACAGAGCAGACAGCCAGCAGCATCATTCACACCCGAGTCTGCTTTAGCCCCAACACAGGGCTTTGGATTTGTATCCACCCAGTACCCAGAGGCTCTGGCCTTTTTACACCGTGTCTTGATTTCCTGCATGATTTCTGAGAGTCCTAGTTACATAAAGTAGACTGCCAGTAACAGTCACAGCAGTTGTGTGTTTAAATTAAATGTGTTGCTGCATATCTTGCTAGAGTTCAAACTGAAGGCAAGAACTTTCTGGAAAAGGGAGACAATGAGAAATACAACTGGAAGGAGCCAACACAGTCTGGAATTCACCCTGCCCATCAGGTCATTCGTGTGGCAATGCCATCCGCCCATCAGCTCCTGACACGAACCAAGAACCGCAGTGCTCACTCACCGCAGATGTATCAAAAGCAAGGCTGTCTTATGGGGATGGCTGGCCAGATCATCCTCCGGCTGCCACAATCCCTAGAGTTTTCTTGCTTGTTTTTCTTTTTTCTGTTTGTTTTTTTGAGACAGGGTTTCTCTGTATTGTTTTGGAGGCTGCCCTGGAACTGGCTCTGTAGACCAGGCTAGCCTCAAACTCAGAAAGATCGGCCTGCCTCTGCCTCCCAAGTGCTGGGATTAAAGGCGTGTACTACCACTGCCAGGTACAATCTTTAGATTTTAAATCACTAAATATCTGGATAGTCAAAGTTCTGTTTTAAGAAATTCTTTTTGGTAGGCATATCTCTAATCTCTCCCAGTTGCTGGGCAGCAAAGGCATGAGGGACAGAATTCAAGGCCAGACCCTCTGCCACTTGTGTCTCAAGTAATCAATAAAATAAAAAACAGGAAGTTCCACTGCCTTCTCAAAACATCCTTAAGAAATCCTAGTAATGACAAAGTAGTTTATATTTACATTGAAAGCCAGCCTTATCTTTAAAAGTCTAGTCCGCAGGGGCAAACGGAATCAAGTCTCTTGGTGTAGAAGAGACTTAGTCTGGTTTTCTCTCTTCCAGGAATGTGTGGCTAAGCCAAGTGTGGCACTATGGATTTTTGTGTCTGTCAAACGCATCCACAACAGTACAGGGCTGAAGAAATTCCATCTGGGGTATGCTACATGGGTTGTGAAAAGGTGAGGGGAAAATACAAACTCAACTGTGTAAAGGGACATATAGAAGCTTTGGGGACATTTCCACACCCGGACCTGGCCAGATAATCAGGTGCAGGCTCAACTTTTGAAGGCTCTACACCTTATGCACAGGAAATGGGTAACTATCATACCCCCTCACTCTGCAGACAATCGTTCTTAGCTGTTTGTTTTTAAATTCAAACTAGCTCCCCTAAAAAAGAGGACAGTATGCTTTAAATGCTGTGTTTTAAAAAGAAGAAATCTACAGTAAAACTGAACGCACGTTCACAGGATTCACACAAGTAACTATTGAGCGTGGCTGGGGTTCCTGCTGTTTGTATTCCTGCAGACTACCCTCTCACAGGGATGAGATATGGAGAGGAGATCACGCTCTTCCCAGCAATAAAAACAGACATGACAAAGTGAGGGGGGCCTGTGATCCCTCTCTGTGCGGGGGACCGGGGCCTGGTCTCTGTGTGATGGGCCTGCCAGACACTGCTGCCACATGAATCAGGAGTCTGTCCTTTCTCACTCTTCCCAAACCCACGTGGAGGCTCCCGGGCCAGCTTTGTAACAGTGAGGTCTCACCACAAAGCTCGTCCGTAACAAGCCAGCTCTCTGCAGCTCCCATGCCACGAGGGGCTCAAAGACATGACTAGCTCTCCGCTTCACTGAACAGGACTGTAGAGCAGGATTCGGAGCTATCTCTCGGGTGTAATGAGTGTTGAAATGAGGTAAAACAGTCTGTAAGGCAACTGTATAAAGCTGAGTGCCTGACAAGCATCAGTGATTGCACTGTTGTTGTTACTACTAACAATTGAACTTTTCTCGGGGCTTATTCAGCAGGCTCAGGCTTCCGATTTCCAAATTACCGACGTAAATGTTGCTGTTACTGTGTCAGATCAGAAATGAGCCTTTTGAGTTGTTGAAATCTCATCATCCTACCGCCACCTTTTAACTTTTTTTTAAAAAGTGTGTGTGGTGTATGTATGTGTATGTGTGGTGTGTATGTATTTATATATGTGTGGTATGTATATATGGTGGTATGTATGTGCGTGTATTTATGTGTGTGTGTGTGTGTGTGGTGTATGTATGTGTATGTGTGGTGTGTATGTATGTATATATGTGTGGTATGTATATATGGTAGTTTGTATGTGTGTGTATTTATGTGTGTGTGTGTGTGTGTGGTGTGTCTGTGTGTGGGCACACCTGTGCCCTGGTATCCAAGTGGAGGTCAGATGACAACTTTCAGAACTTTCAGGAGCTGGGTCTCTTCTTCCAATCTTCTGCTCAGGAGATTGAATTCAGGTCACCAGGCTCACATAGCAATCTCCTTAGCCCTCTTTTTGATGTTGGGTTTCTTGTCTTTTTTTGTTTTTGTTTTGTTTTGTTTTGTTTTTGAGACAGGGTTCAAGTCTGCTTCAGACTGGGATCCACATCAACTCAAGAATTTTCCATGTCATGTAATTAACTAAAGTCTTCTAAATAGCAAGGATTCAGGGTTCAAACCCAGCTTTATCACTTATAAGCTATAACCCTGGCCACATTACTCTGCTGAACAGAAAGTCAAGATGATCCAGATGAAGGGGATGGGGGATCAGTGGGAAGGAAGTCCAGGTTCAAAGTTGTGGTAAACCAGATCAGGAAGGGGTGGTGGTAAACTTTACACAGTGATGCGTGCTCAATAAACATTTGCTGAGTGAGGGTGCAGTGCCGACTAGCAGGTTGGCCAGGCATTGCACGTGGGCACAGATGGGCGCTAGATCATTTTATTTTATTTTAGTTTTGGTTTTTCGAGACAGGGTTTCTCTGTGGCTTTGGAGCCTGTCCTGGAACTCGCTCTGTAGACCAGGCTGGCCTCGAACTCACAGAGATCTGCCTGCCTCTGCCTCCCGAGTGCTGGGATTAAAGGCATGTGCTACCAATGCCTGGCAAGTGCTAGATCTTAAACAAATGTCCCTTCACAAATGAGCTTTGGGCTAGCTAGATGCTAATTCCCATTTTCTTACTAAATAAAAGTTCTTCCATTTAAAATCTCCACAAAGATATTAGTTCTCTGAGTCTGCAATTCTAATATCAGATTGGAGTGGTATTGAAAACAACAACAACAGCAAAAAAAACAAAAAACAAAAAAAAATCAAGAACCTGTAAAACCTGAGCTGGGTGTGGTAGCACACACCTGTCTATAATCCTAGCATTTGGGGGGCTGAGCCTGGAGGATTGTGAGTGGCCACAAGTTTGAAGCCAGCCTGGCCTGTGTTAAGAAAAGACACATGTACCCATTCACACAACTGATAACAGAAGTATTAGAAGCAAATCGATCTTAAGCTACTTTACTTAAGCTACTGGAAACTGGCAAAAGAAAGAAACAAACAAATAAATAAATGAAGAAGTTGTTCTAGGCCTGGAACCCAAGATCGCTGGGCCCCACGCATTCAGTACCTACTGACCCGGCCCTAGCCATCAGGGAGAGCGACACAGAAAGAGAAAAAGAAGCAGGCAGACTCACAGCTTCCTCCAAGTGCTGTTGGTCTGGATTGTCATTCGGCGTGTGTCTCAGGATTTCTCGGAGGAGCAGAGGGTATTTCACCAGGCGGCTCCTGGGGATATCAAGGAAATTCCAGAGATCTAGTTTGCGGCTGAAGGGGGATTCTAAGCAGCGCTGGAGGAAATCCTGGACTCTGTGGTCTTGCTTCTTGTGGTCCAGGAGGGCTTTGGCGGCGACTTGATTGCTGCAGTAGCTGTCGTAGGAGCTGAGGCATGGCAGCTGAGAAGGAAACATAAAAGGAAGGCCGGGGGTCAGCGCGGGTGCCAGCGCCATTGCTGGCGTCACTTACGAACAAACACCAATGGGGTCTCCAGACCCAGCCAGCGTTCCTTCATCTGCGAGGGTGGGAGAAGCTAACTAACCAGTGCAATCTTCAAAATGACAAGACACAAAAATGCCATTTTCTCAGTTGTACTTTCTCCCTCTAAAGATCCCGATCAAAACTCCTTAGCTTTGTCCAGCAACTTAAGCTAGAAAAAAAAGAACCAGTTTTGCGGATACATATAGAACAGGGTTTTTTTTTTTTTTTTTTTTGGGCTTGGTTGTGGTGTGTGGTTTATGTGTGGTGTGTGTGTGTGTGTGGTGTGTGTGTATGTATGTGTGTGTGTTTGTGGTGTGTGTATGTAGTGTGTGTGTGTGTGTGTGTGTGGTTTGTGTATGTGTGGTGTGGTGTATGTGTGGTGTGTGTGTGTGTTAGTGCTTGGGACTGAACCCAAGGTCTCATGCATGCTTGATGTTCTACCACTGGGCTATACCCCAGTCTCAGAATTTCCCTAACCCTTCCCAAGCACTCGGCAAGGCGGAAGTTACCGATTTATTTCATTCTATGTGTATTTCTTGGTGTTTGCATGTGTTTGGAGGACAAGAGACAACCTCGGTTATCATTCCTCAGACGGCACGCACATTGTCTTTATGCAGACATGTCTCTCTGGGTAGATGGTGTGTGTGTGTGTGTGTGTGTGTGGGTTACATGTATGGCACAGGACACATGTGGAGACAGGGAACAGACCTAGGTTTGGTTCTCATCTTAGACAGGGTCTCTTTGTTGATTGCTGCTGTTCTGAAAGCTCCAGGCTTGCTGGTCTGTAAGCTTCTGGGGACAGAAGACACACGAGACTGTGCCTGGTTTTACACAGACTCTGGGAATTCAAACACAAGCCCTGTGCCTACTGAACCATCTCCTCAGAGCCTTTTTAATTTTTAAAACGACTTTAAGAATTTTTATTTTTGTGTATGTGTGCCCATTTGCTTGTTTCTACATGTATCGTATGTGTGTTGGTACCTGTGGAGGCCAGAAGAGGCCTCCCAGGAACTAGAGTTCCCCACGGGAGTTCGGGGACCTGAGCTGTGGTCCTCTGGAAGAGCAGGAAGCATGTCCAATCACTGAGCCACATCTCCGGCCTACCTCCTCTTGTTTTTCAAAGCAGGATTCATTCAGGATTTTTTTTTTTAAAGAGACTTATCTAGAAGACTTAGTGGCATACACAGAAAGCGAGGGTCGAACACACAGCCTAGGTTTTCCTGTTGCTCAGCACAAGCATTTCCACATTTGTTTATGATTACATGATTCTAAGGTGGCCCAAGAATTAGGGGCCTCAGGAATTTGAAGCAATAGTATGATTAAGAAAAAAATATAGTTGTAGGAATTATTTACTAAAATCTTCTAAATGGGGCTCTGGCAGGCCAGGACAGGTTTGTGACACTATCGTCCAGATCATATCACACTATCACGCAAGAATAGTTTCAGCCTAACGACTGGAGCGTGTTAACCACACTGCCTTCATTCCGGGGAAACGCCAATTTCCCTGACATGCCCATCAGTCACACTGTGCAAATACCACATCAGAGACTCAAGCAAAGGGCTGCTCATCCCCCTCTGCTACTCCTCCCTCGTGATAGCGTAATAGCGCCTTGGGCTGACTGACAGGCTAGCAAAGCTACCCCCAGCAGTAACATGCAGCCGGCGGCCCAGCTGCTTTGCCCCCTTCTGAAACCAATGAAGAGACTGCGTTCACCGAGACATCCCCTCCGTAGCATTCAAAGCCAGACAGTGACGGAGGCGTCTTTTGTTTCTGTATGCTCAGGATTTTGTGTCATACCCATTAAACAACAAAGTCTGTATTCCGGATGAACAAATAAATGAAAGGTTAATGGATTGTAAGACTAGAGGAGAATAGTTGAGGGTTTGGGAGCAATGCTCACAAGGAAACGGCAGAATCAAAAACAAACAAAAGCCCGAACCAAAAGAAAACTCTGGGCGTGGTGATTCGCACCTACGATCCTGGCGCCCAGGAGGCTGAGGCAGGAACTGATGAGCTTTCAAGAGCTGTCTGACTGAGTTCAAGACCAGCCTGGACTACACAGTGTGATCCTGTCTCAAAAGTCAAACCATGAAGTGTCCAGAAAAGGCAATTGCTGCTAAGCCTGAACTTGATCCCCAGGACCTATATGGTAAGCAGGAACCAATGCTCATGAATTAACCTCTGATTCCCACACACAAGAGAACAGGATCCTACGAGTTGTCCTCTGGGAACACACATTTTCACATATACACAACCATATAAATACATGTAAAAATAGCAACAAAAACCCAAAGGAACAAAAACATGAATGGTAGCATTTGAAGGTGGTTTTGTTGTTTTATTTCTTTTTAAACCATCCACATGTGTATCCTGTAATTGCATTTGAAGTTTTTAAATGTCCTACCACTACTTTTATGATTTTTATTGGAATTATTTCCTCATCATGGAGTAGAAAAAGTTGCCAGAGAAGTAGTATTTAAAAAGATTCATTATTGAGTTTAACGTTTCTTGGAAATGTTTTCCTTCCATGTGGACAAACAAACCACACACACACAAAACAACCTTTTGATTTGTGTTAAAAAAAAACAGCTGCAGAAATTCTCTGCTCAGCCATATATTTTGAAGTACTGATAATTGTTTTAACCGACCCTCCCCTCAAGATGGGATGCTTGCAACTTAGATTTTCAAAATGAATTCAGGCTCTCTTTAATTTCATTTCTACTTCCTCGCCTTTTTAAAGACCTGGAAATGGCCCAGGTTTGCATCAAGCAGATGCAAATCAGCAGTTACAATCAGATATGAACTACCAAGGAACTAGGGTCACACTGTCCAATGGGCCATTGCTTTCTCTGATCCCCGCCACCTGCTACCATGGCAACCAAATTCGGCTCTGCTCTTTCGTTCACACCTGACAGGGTGCTCATTTCCTGGGCATGACTCAAAATGCATACAATCTGATTTCCAAATATGTTTGCACGCCCTTCAAAAATGAGGTAACAGCTCAGTGGTGAAAAAAAAAAAGAAAGAAAAACATAACTCTGGAAATGCAGCATCCGATTAAAAAACAAACGTGGGCAGCAATTTGTAACTCTGTACACCTCAGTTTCTCCACTCACAAAATTTACATAATGCCCCCACCCGCTCCATGAGACGCACAGCACAGAGTTTACCCTGTTTAAGAAGTGGTAAGCACTAGCTATTATTACTATCTTTTTGGTTTTTCGAGACAGGGTTCCTCTGTGGCTTTGAAGGCTGTCCTGGAACTAGCTCTTGTAGACCAGGTTGGCTTCGAACTCACAGAGATCCGCCCGCCTCTGCCTCCCGAGTGCTGGGATTAAGGGTGTGTGCCACTATCTTATATGTTCTTGTTTTTTTGCTGTGTTACTACTGTTTAAGATACAGTCTCCCTCTGGAGCTCAGGCTGACCTGGAACTCAGAGTGAGCAGGTATGCCACAGTCAGAAGATGCCATTTAGTTGGTTATCTCCCCATCATCTGACACGTCCGTCCTTTCTTCTCCTTATATGGTGTTCCCCTAGCCTTGAGTGGACGAAACAGATTATACATGGGGTCTCTTGAAACAGAGTATCATGTAGCCTAGCCTGACCTTGAACTGACCATAAAAAAACAAAAACAAAACAAAACAAAAAAACAGATGACTTCAAAATCTTGATCACTTCTCAGGCTTCCCCTTATAAATTCCTTTTCAAAATATTTATTTTAGTTATGCATATGTGTGCGTGCGTGTGCCTGAGTGTGTGTGTGTGTGGGGGGCATGTGCATATCAGTGCTGGTGCCCCTAGAGGCCAGAACCAGCTCACCGGCTCCACCCCTCCTCCTAAATTCTTGAGAGTCTGTTTAAAGAGACACAGAGTCATCAAACACTTAGCAGAGGTGATGACCAGGACAGGTTTTAGGCTACGGCTAAGCCAAGTAGCTCACTGCAGCTGTGGTTGTCTGTACACGATCTGCATAAGACCGAGCCTGCCAACATTTCACCATGGTTGGGGGGAGGATCCATGAGGCTCTATACCCCTCCCTGAGGGCCTATCAGTGGTTAATGGTTGCTGGGGGAGGGGGTGTCACTTTCTTCAGCGATATAGCCATTGGTAAACTGCCCCGGTTCTTGAAAATAACTTCTCACCCACGCTTGTGCAAGCAGATATGATCGAATCCGATGCGTCACAGGAAGAGAAGACACGAAAGTGGGAGGGGACTTGCTGGGAAGTAGGAGGGTTTCAGCGGGAGAGGGGGATGGATAGGAATGGGGAACGTGGAGTAAAGACCACTGTTAAAAAACGGAAAAATTTAAAGCTCCACATGTATGTGTATATATATATGTGTGTATGTATATACATGTTTATATATGGAAAGCACTTTTTTCTTTTATTTAGTATTATTTTTAGAAGCTCTATTCCCCTAACATAAAAAATGTTAGAATAAATCTGGATTTTTTTTTACCCCCATGTACCCTTTCTCTCCCTTTGGGATTAAAAATTAACTAGGACCTAAATTAAACAGGAGCACTTTCTGCCATGGAGAGCTTATAAATTATTTTCTTACTCAGACAGTCACTTGGGCCATGGTTTCTTTGTGACAGGGAAGGCTTGCTCAAATAGGATGACCTGCTAGGAAAGGGCACCCACCCTCTGAAACCAGGGCAGCAGCAACCAGAGATGGCCTCTGTTTAAAGCCGTCCAAGTACAAGTCATGGATTCAGTCTAAGGTCAAAGGCCTGGCTGACGCTGTCTTAGGGGGGCAGCTCACTTGTTCAAAGGGTTTTTTTTCCCCCTCCTTTTCAGGAAAATAAATCAATTTTCCATGGGTTGAATGGGTTCTGACTTTTCTCATTCAGTGTCCAGTACGACATTTATTTCGCTCTGTTAAAAAGAGTAGGACTCAAACAGATTCACCCCTTGGTAGACCGCTCCCACTCAGACCAACACACCTGCAGTTAAAAGAGGGAAAACATACCAGCATTTTGGTTGCAACAACGGGCCACTTGTTTCCTTTCAGGCCAAGCTCTAAGTCCCCATTTGATGCCCGGAGGGTCCAGACAGCAACAGACTGGGGTGGCCATACTTCCTCTGGGTATGTACGGAACATGACTGCTAAAGCTTTCCCCAGACCCCAGCTCAAACTAACCTCATAACACAAGTGACAAAAGTGTATGGGGGGGGGGCAAATAAGGCAAAGTTCTTAAGTTTGAGTCTGGAACAATGCCATAATTTGCCCGCTTAAAGGAACAGTATCACCCTATTTTACCATGTCATAAAAAGTCGAGCAGGGACCCTGCTGACTCTGAAGTGCTCTGGCTCCCTGACTAGGGAGTCCACAGACTGCAGACGTTTAAAAACACTGATGTAGGCCTTCTCATTAAACCACCTCTGACTCAAGTGGACCTGCTCTTTCCATAGAAACATCTTCGTGGGTTGAAGGAGTTTAAAACAATACCACGACTTAGAATAAAAAGTCAAAAGTTTGAAAATGAAAGATCTCTCCTGAAATATTGAAGCACGTTATCTAAATTATTCAGCTTAGAACATTACTTGTCTCTCAGATGTTCCTGAGATAGTTCAGCCTTGGTACTAAAATTGACTTCTGAACTAGAGCCACGTCCTGAAACCCTCTCCAAAGTTTCCAGGTCATGGCAGTAACTCAGAGGCAACAGGCCAGACACCAACGTGAAGGGTTTTTTGCATGTGCATGTGACATCAGTGAGAACCTGAAGGTTAAAAACGTATTTACCTGGAAAGAGAACACTCATGGCAGTAGGACTTAAAGCTCTGCAATACTCAACCACGTTACACCCTGCCCGACACCCTCTACCACTGTTCTCCCTGCCCAACACCCTCACCACTGTACACCCTGCCCAACACCCTCACCACTGTACACCCTGCCCAACACCCTCTGCCACCATATTCCCTGCCTTTTTCCCTGGAATACTGGATGAATCAGATCGATCAAGAGATCTAATTTTGCCTGGATGAAGTCATTGAAGTTATCTGCTTTCACTACCTGCTTTATAACAAAAGCATCTAGAATTGGGATGGAGCCTTCATGCACTCACTGACGTACACAGACAGACAGACGGACAACTGGGAGTAGTTGGGGTGGTTGTAAAATAGCATATGCTTTGTCTAAGTGAATAACGCAAACAAACACTACACATTCAACTGAATAAAAATTCAGTATGCAGATAATACATTTATGAGCCCTAACCTAAAGTCCCATCTTTGTTCTTTAAGAAAGGGAATCAGTTAGGTTAGATGAAAGTCTGTTTACCCAGAAATTACTTAGGACCAGAAATATATGTTCTAAATATAAACAACATACACTCATTAACTTGTTAGTAAAACTACATTTAGATCAAAGGATCCCACTACCCCCCACTCAGTACTGGGCATCAAACCCAAGGCTTTGTGCGTTCTAAGCAAGAGCTATCCACTTTTGATGATGAACAAGAAGGTCAAGCCAGGGCCGGTGGCATAGGCCTATAAATCCCAGCTGCTTGGAAGGTTGAGGCAGGAGTATCCCAAATTCAAGGTCTGCCCCAGCTGCAAAGTGAGTCCAAGGACGGGTAAATTAGTGAGAACTTGCCTCAAAATAAGAGGAAAAAGAAGGCAGGATGAGGCATGGATATATATATATCTATCAGTGGTAAAGTTCTTGCATAACATGCACCGAAGAAAAAAAATGAGTATGTTAATTTTAAACTTAGAATAGAAATGGCAGTAACTTAATTGTCCTAGATCCAATATAATCTAGCATCATCCATTTTATTTCATGTGAAACTAATAGTAGTTTCATGTGTACTTTTAATTTACTTTATTGCAAAAATGCCATGTTGCCTTTAAATGCAATACATTTTTGATAAGAAAAAAGATTGTTTCCATGCTTTGAAGACATAAAGCTTCCATATAGTAAGAGTTTATCCTTCCATCTGATGTGATAGGCAGTATTTGTCAACAAGGAAAAAAAAGTGTGGGTAGGGGGGAGATCTATCTTCAAACAAGACCAGAGAACATTTCTTACCCAGCCCACGAGGATGGGACCGACGTGCTCAGTTGAACCATCAGGCTTCCGAACGTCTCGAAGCTGCCTAAGGAGATCTGGCAAGAAATAAATGGAACGTTTATTGTGTTAGGCATTCAGATATGAGCAGGGGTGGAAGACGGCTCTGGGCCACTCACATTATTACACAATCACAGATTTGTTATAAGACAACTCAACTAAGGCTGCAAGTCATGACTCATCTGGGACCAAACTGTACCTTCATGTAGAGGAATTAGAGAGTCCAGTGTTCCAAAAATTTGATTCAGTTCTTGTTCTGTCATTATTGAGAGTTTCAGCATGGGGTCATGATAGGCCTGTGAAAATGAGCAAGAGATGGACACAGATACTGAAACTCAGAGGAACTCGGCTGTTTGTGCAAATGATTCCTGAGAGGGGCTTTACAATAAATAGAAAGTGGCTTCCTACAATTTATCCCATAATGCAGTGGGAACAGCCAACAGGTGTGGCTGGGAGAGCAGAGGGTCTGTTTCTGCCTCAGCCTTTTGTGGCTTCTGATAAACTAAGGTAGAACTCTCCCCATCCCCCACAAGCTTTTCTACATCTAGATGTGTACCATACATCTAGGAAGAAGCAAAAATCCTACATGGATAGCAGTCTGGACTGATACAAGTTTCTAAAAGTCAACATGAGCCTACCCTTGGAAAAAACCCTCCCACTTTATTCAGATTTTTATTTTATTCAAAACAAGCAGGCTTCTTCAATGAGTACATATCTGAAAGGAAGGAAAACTGATTGGACCCTTCATTATTGCATTAAGTACAGACAGAAAAACATTTGCTGATCTTAGTTCAGATCTCCAGAATGAACATAAAAGTTGGGTGGGTACAGTGGTCCACCTACAGTCCCAGCACTGGGAGAATGAAGAGGCAGGAAGGGTCCTAGAGCAAGCTGGCTAGCCAGACTAGTTATACTGATGAGCTTTGGTTCAGTTGAGAGAACCTGCCTCAGTAAACATGGTGATGATCCAATGAAGAAGACTCATGCTACCCTCTGGCATTCACAGGCACAGATGTGACCACACACATATACACACATACATGTATACTACACATAAACATATGCAAAATAAGACAGATGACAATTCTTGCCTTCAGAGCGTTGTATAAAAGCTAATTGAGATTTTTTTTTAAAAGATGCATGGAAACTTAAAACATATGTTAAAAAAAAACAGTTCAATGCTAATGGCAGAAGGAATGTCACAAAACAATAAAGGGCTCTAACGGGTCAGAAAATTAAAGGTAAAGAATCCAAGGAAGGTTCTGGAGATGAGTCATATGCACAGAAGAATGACCTAGATTTGAGCTGAAGCCTGTGACAGGGCTGAGGCGGATGATTGAAAGGAAAGGGGGCTTTGGGGTGGGGGACAGACCCCTGTGAGTCAGAGGGTGGCCAAGGAACATCTAAAGGTGTCTATGTTCGGGAAATCTTGACTCAGGAAGTAGAGTGGAGGCATGTGACCAGCCTATGGGCATAGGATGTGTTCCCAAACGTAAAGGCCTTGTTTCTGAGCTGCTCAGCCTGGAGTCCTGCCCACCAGCTTCTTGGCAGTGTCCATGCAAAGCCTAGATGGCCACCTCAGGAGTGTGGATGGTGGAACTTCCTACCAGCAGAGCGTTGCACTGAGGGTCCTAAGACAAGAAGTGCTCTTCCGACCTTATGATTCCCTCAAAAGGCCATGGACCAGGGAGGCCACTGCGTGGGAAGATTTGCCGTCAAGAATGTACATGACTTTAGGCAATCCCGTAGAATTCGGATTAACACATTTTCGTCTGGGGTCTAGCTCAGCAGTAGCTCATGTATGTGCACAGTGTGTTTAAGTCTGACCCTGATGCCCAGCATTCAGCAAAAAAAAAACCCAAAAAACAAAAACAAAACCCCAAAACTCTCATTCCATATGAAAGACCCTAATTTATTATACTATACAGACACTCACCTCACTCTGCCTACTTTCAAGAACTAATTGTCTTTATCCTAGCTTAGAGATCTGTATCTCTAAATGATGATGATGATGATTTCCCACATGGACCAAGAGGCATGACTCCTTTTTTGGTGTTTTAAGAGACCGGCTCTCAGTATGTGGCCCAGGCTGGTCCCATACTCTAGGCCCTCCCAACTCAGCCTCCTGAGTAGCTCAAGAAAGACTTCTAGGACAATGAAATACACATAAAACCAGGCCTCCACGAGCACTTTCAGATTTAAACAGATACATCCTTCGAGGCGCACTAGACACTCAGACCCTCAGAAGGCATCCGGCAGGTGCCAGGTGTTGAGAGCTAATTTGCCTTCTTGCTTTGAGCCATTTCCTTCACTGGCTGGTTTGCGGTCAAAGTTTCTTTTCTGTCTCTTGATGACTTGAGTTAGGCACAAGAAAGGCTGCTGAGAAGCATCATCTTGGGACTCTGAAATGACTCACGGGGCAGGAAAAAAACACGAAGTGACTCAAACAGCTACTGTACCTCAGCTTACCTTTTTTGCTAATTTCAAGTCCTCGATCAGGTCTTCTTCCCCTTGAGAAAGCTCAAAGATCGCCTGCAAAAATAAGATAAATGAACTTGCTCAGTTCTCTCATTCACGAGACCAAACTCAAACAGCACCAACACTCAAAAGTTCAAGATCTCCATAAGTTAAACGAGGCCTGGGGTAGAACCGGGGAAGTACACGCTGAGCGTGTGCAAGACCCCAAGTTTAATACCCTGCAGTAAAAAAAAAAAGTTAAATTACTCTGAAGGGAATGCATCTAGAAGCTGTCAAGAAAAGCCTTGCTTATGAGAGTTTTTGGCATGTACTTCCAACCTGCCAAGTCGCCCTTCACATCTTAGACCTCTGGTGAAGTCCAACAAGAGGGGCCCGTATCAAGTGACGGAATCGCTGTGCGTGTGCTGGGCTCTGTATCTTTGCTATGAGTGGCAATGGGAAGAGACAATCCGGAGCCTGTCCTCAGAGATGGATCTGGGAGTGTTGTGAACCATCACAGTCTGCTTTCTCTTTTCCCCAGAGAAGGTGAGCCTCCGCAGAAAGCTGCATCCCTATGTCTACTTAAGATGGGGGGTGTGCTGCAACCCTATTGTCTACGGGGTGTGTCTGGGGGGGGGGTTATAGGAAGGACCCAACATTCTACTGCTGTAGACAGAATCTGGTGGAGTCACTTCATTCTAAAGTCCCACCAGGCACAGCAAATAAGATTAGAGGAGCTGGTTATTTGTGAGAGGGTGCAAATGCACCGCTTCTAATTTGGCTCCATTAAGGCCACCGTGATTTAAAGAGCTATGCTGTGCAGAGCTCCCTCTCTCATCTGGGAATCTAAACACTGGGCAAACCTCACAGTATTCAAGGACTGCAAGTCTGTGATAATGGTCCAGGAGCAACTGCGCTGTTTCCAGCTGGAGAGACGTCAACAGCTTTCAGCATGGTCACTGCCCTGAGGGTTAGGGACTAGAGGGCAATGAGACAGGACCCTGGGCTGTGGTGACAACCCTCCCCCCTGGCCCAGCAAAGCCTCGCGTCATGGCTTACTGAAAGAATTACTCTTGCATGACAAGTTTCAAACATAGCACAGGAGTCTTGTGTACCTATCAGCTGTCTGTCTCTAACACCGGCATCGTAGACAGACTTGCCTGGATTTCCTTGGCCATCTGCTTTATGGAAGCTCATCAGCTATCATGACCAATTGCAACTCCCCCCGCCCCCCCCCCCGCCCCTCTTCCCGCAGGATTCCACAATGGAAAATACTTCGGCTTGGGAGTAAGAAGAATCAGGGTCAAATCATGCTGCAGCTCACCTCTGCCCACCCTGCCTCAATGCATTGCCCATCTGCCATCTATCTTTCCTTTCCTATGCTGTCAGGTTGCACAATATGTATATCACTAATGTTTAAAAATACAGGAACACATAAGGAAGGGAATTGTGAATCACCCACAATAGCATCTTGTTATCTCTGAGAGTACAGAAATAACAAACTCAGTTTTCCCTTCCTTCCCTCTCTCCATTTGTATTTTTTTCCCTCCTCTATTTTCATAACATAGCTCCCTTCTGACACCCAATATGGGGACTTCCCTCTGTCCTCCAAGCAATGAGCTCTGCCACAGATACCAGGTAGCTGTCTTCTAACTCAATCGTAATGCTACGCACCTGGAGACAGCATCAGGTCCCCCAAGTGAGGGCTCAGTCCCAAGACTCCTCACCCTTCTATGTGCAAATCAAGACCTCAAATAGTTTGACCTGTGACTCTCATCAACTGGTGAGAAGCCAGTGTACCCATGACCCCTCCTCAGGCTTGCTTAATCTGCCACAACTGTTCACAGAACTCAAGGCGACATTCATGTTTACTGGTTTCCAGGCTATTATATTATAAAGGCTATGCGCGTCAGCTGAGGACAGGGGCAAGCGAAGGTATGAGTACAGCCTACACCCTCTCCACAGCTACTACACCATCTTCCCAGAACTCATGTGTTTAGCTATTCAGCTCTTAAAACTTTGTCCTCTTGGTTTCTATGGAGACCCAGACAGCACGACAGATTAAATCACTGGCCATTGCTTATCGCCCGTAACCATCAGCCTCTCTCCCTTCTCCAGGGGTTAGCGAGTGGAGCCGTATCTTAGTTTGGTTTCTGTTGCTGGGATAAACAAAAGCAACTTGGGAGGGAAGGGTTGATTTCATCTGACAACTCTCAGGTCAGAGTCCAACACTGAGAAAACTCAGGGCCAGGCTCAAGGCAGGAGCCTAGAGGCAGGAACTAGAAGATAGGTCACAGAGCAGTGATTCTCAACCTGAGGGTTGCAGAGCAGATGTCCTGCATGTCAGATATCACATTACGATCCATAACAGCGGCAAAATTACAGTTATGAAGTAGCAATGAAATAATTTTATGGCGGGAGGCTCACCACAACGTGAGACACTGTATTAAAGGGTCCTAGCATTGGGAAAGTTGAGAACTACTGTCCCAGGGAGATGCTACTTATTGGCCTGCCAGCCTTACACTACACAGGACCACTGGCCCAAGGATGGCACCCACATCAATCATCAATCAAGACAACACCCCACAAACTTGCCTGTAGGCAGTCTGATGGAGGCAGTTTTTCAATCCAAGTTCCTCTTCCCAGATAAACTAGGGTGTCAAGTTGACAAAAAACCAAAACAAAACAAAAACTAGGACAGGCTGGTTTGTTACTGGATAGCACTTCTGTTATCCTGCCTGGGTCTTACTAGAGGCTACTACACAGCCAGAAGCTTTCTTTTTTTAAAATATAATTTTTTAATATAATGCACGTTTGTGTTTTACCTACGTGTATGTCTGTGTGAGGGTATCACATCCCTTGAAACTGCATGGTTGTGATCTGCCATGTGGGTGGTGGGAATTGAACCTGGGTCCTCCGGAAGATCAGCCAGTGCTCTTAACTGCTGAGGCCTCTCTCCGGCCCCAGCCAGAAACTTTCAATAGTGGACAGCCATCATTGACTCCATTACTGCCATCTGAGCATACAAAATCTGCGTGCCAGGTAGTCTAGATAAAGACCACACATCCACACCCTAAAATCACATATGACCTTGCTATAGCCCACACAGGACTTCTGAGGGCACACATTATTTTAAAGACCTTTTCAGAGTTTGGTAGCAATACATCTCCACGGTACCCAATACAGAGAGCGGGGAAGATCTCCGCTCCTTCTTTCATGGACTTCGGGAGGGGACTTTGTTGCCAATTCTTTAGGCATCCTTCCAGAAATACTTTTATGGCCTCACAAACAAGTTCATATATATATATATATATATATATATATATATATATACATACATACATACATATATATACACACATATATATATAAAATTTTATATACACCATAGCATTCCATTTGGTTCCCTGCTGTACCTACACACAGATAAACACACATTCCCTATTTCTACAACTGTATAGGTCTTTGAATGCTCCATCAGCTCCTGGTCATAGAGGTTCAGGCTCATCCTAAACTGGTAGCACTGTTACGGACATTGGCTCTCTGAGTAATTCTGCAAGCTTGCCTTTTGACCCGTGTGCAAGATCGGTTCCTAGGGAAGGATCGCTTAGTCATGGAGCCTCGAAATTTCAAGTACCCTTTCTCTGCAGGGTGTGTGTGTGGGGAGACAGAGAGTATGATGATTATGTATGATGTATGCATGGATGTAGGTATGTATGTATGTATGTATGTATGTATGTATGTATGTATGTATGTGTCTCTGAGTGTAAGAATCCTTACTGGACACTTGGATCCAACACTCACAATCGCTTTATTTTCACAGTGGGGCCGAACCCACGAAGCTGGACGCTGGCTTTTCAGTTTATCCCATCCTCTACGCTTCCACATGTGGTGATGCGCTCTGAGGGTGATTCACGGGCTCTCGCCTGCAGGGGACCTTCGTGGCAGACCAACAGGCAGCTCTCCTTGGGTCCCAAGCTTACCTCCTGCCGCTTGATCTCCTTGGCCGTAAGCACCTGACTGACACACACATCGAAGGTCTCGCTCCACAGTTTGCTGTCCCTCCGCTTTGTGCTTGAGGAGGTGGCATTTCTGGACCAGGCTCGGGGGGCGAGGATGTCGGGGCGGCTCTCACTGCGGAAGCTAATGGACCGCTACACAACGAGAAAAAGAAACCGTCATGGGGTGAGCAGCAGGACTGGGTGGATCCTTCTGGCGCAGCTTCCTGTCACCGACAGACACAAATCCTGTATCTGCAAGAAAGAAAGGCCTTTTCACACAACACGCTGGAGGCATGGTTCTGTGTGACCTGGACATCGAGTGAGCTACAGAGCGAGACCATGCAGGCCAGGCTCACATGCAAAAGGAAGCTCTCCAGCACACACCCAGTGCCCTGTTTCCAATGGACATCATTCTCCCCAGGCACAGGGGAAAACAGTGCTGGGTACCGTCCCCCAAAACCAAAAACAAAACCTCACCCTCTCCTACAGCAGGACTCCACTATCCCTGCCCCCCACGCCCACCTCCCCATACTGTTTGGGTAGGCTTATCCAGGTCTGAGCAACCAGACAGTACCACCATGCCGGTGCAGGGCTGGGCGGCATGGTTTATGAGAGAAAGGGGGAGCGTCAGTCCTCTGGTGCTGTGAGCAAATTCGCCCTGGTCACACAGAACAACCTGTTTACCACAGGAGAGAAGAAAGACGCACAGGACGAAGGCTGACAGAGGGGTGGGGGGTGAGGGGGGTAAACAGGCTTCACCAAACTGAACCAGCTGAGCTCCTGGATCGCACTGTACCCGAAGCCTGCCAGGCCCACCCTGCGTCATTTTAGCTACACGGGCTAATACAGTCCCCCTTCTGTCTCCAGCAGTTGGGACGCTACCAACTCAAAATGCTGCGGTGAGTGTGCATACCAAGTACCAGCCTGGCAGCGAGACGCCTACCCCTGACTTGTTTTGTTCTTTTGCAAAGAGGCCCCAGCTGTCTTTAGGGGTTCAGCCTTGCGACTGACATATGCTCCCATGGGGCTTTCTCACGACAAATGCAAAGCATTCAAAGGAAGGTAAATGTGTCATCGCTAGTCTTGAACCTGCAAGATTACAACCTGTTCTCTAGAAACGGAAAAGTAAAGACGTATTTCTACACTCAAACCCCCCCCTTTTTTCCTTTTTAAAAAAAGATAAGTTCTCATGAAGCTGGAGAGGTGACTGAATTGTTAGGAAGCCTGCAGCCTTTCCAGAAGAGCCAAGTTTGGAGTTCAGGGTCCACAGTCTTAGCTCTGTCTCCAGGGGATCTCATGTCTCCGGCCCCTGAGGGCACCTGCACTTACATGCACTTGTACATACATACATGCACACACACATGCATACATGTACACACACTTTAACATATTAAAATAAGCCAGGCAGTGGTGGCGCACGCCTTTAATCCCAGCACTCAGGAGGCAGAGGCAGGCGGATCTTTTAGACGAGCCTGGTTTACAGAGTGAGTTCCAAGACAGCTTCCAAAGCCACAGAGAAACCCTGTCTCAAAAAACCAAAAAAAAAAAAAAAAGGTTAAAATTAAAAATTTTTAAAGAATAGGATGACCTGGAACTCACTGTGTAGCCCAGACTGCCTTCAAATTCAGGATGGGTCCTCCTATCTCAGCCTCCCAAGAGTTGAGATTATTGTTGTATGCTACCGGCTACAAACTCCAACGCCCCCCAACACACACTTTAGCAAATGTCCCTGCGCTGCTGCTCCCTGGGCCCTTCCGTGTGAACTTCCACTCAGCCTGGCAAAGACTCTGACGGCAGGCGGTTGACATATTTAGGATTGTATCCTGCCACTCACCCATCACCCTGCCACTCTCTAACTTTTTGTTTGTTTGTTTGTTTTGCTATCCCTCAGTGCTTCCTCTGAGCAATCTTCTTTTTCTTAAGGGTGGTTCTCCCATTTCCCAACCAATCCTTGCCTGTCTTCAGAGCACAACCCAGATCCCTCTCTCTTAGGAAGGCTTCACCTATGCCCCACCCCACCCACGCCCTTCCTGTTCTGCCATTTGGATAAACCTCTGGCAGAACAGTGACCACATCTTGCTTTGTTTATTTAACTTGATTTTAGCTGGTTTTGCGTGTGAAGACACAAGAGCCTGCATCACTAAGACAGTGCTCTCAATTATTTGAGATCTAACTATGGAATATAACAATGAAAACTCACTAGAAAAGCTTTTGTTTTGCTTAACAATTGGAGCTGGGGTGAGGCTTTAGAGAGGGATCCAGTGTTAAGGTCACCGCTAAATAAGTTAGAATTGTGTGTTGACAGAATATCGACTAGCCTTTAAGCCAACTCTGAGATAATTTAACTGCTAAAAAAAAATCCCCTTTATACATATTTGACCAGCATTAAAAACTGTATATGATTACTTCAAAATTATGCAAATCCTATGTGAGCAGATATTTGTAAAATGCCATCAACTTTTCTTTTTTTTTCCACATGGATATTACAGGTGACTTCTAGCTTACTTTTTAATTACTTGGAACCTGAGAAAATGGGAAATATGATACAAGTTTCCAAAGGGGCTTCAGGACCTTTCCAGAGCTTCGGGGAAGGAGGTGCGGGCAAGTCCATGACCTTTCCAGAGCTTCAAGGTGGGGGGGGGGGGGAGGGCAAGTCCGTGTAGTCTTGCAAGCAGGCAAGCCCTGGGGCTAACAGGGACTAGTGTGAGCTCCTGACATCTGAACCAACTCCATGCAGGGACAAGGGCTTGCTTGCCCAGGTCGCCAGGGGTTTTGCACAAATCCTGGGATTGCTTGAACAAGCCCCCTTATAAACAGCAGCTATGTTAATGGACATAGCTTTGCCTGTCCTCAGATCAACCAGCCACAGTCCCGAAAGGTCAAAACAAGGCGGTGAGTCACCAGCCCACTCTGTCGGTGGCTCTGATGGGCAGGTGGGAGTTCCAGAGCAGAAAGGAGAAAACGCACAGAGAGGAAGAGTGCAGCGAGTTTCCACTCTCACTCCAAAGGCCCAGGTGCCCCATCTCAGCACACTTTCAATCTTACCCACACCGACTCCCCCAGAGGTGGAAAAGAATTCACACCAACCTGAAACTTTTATGTTTTGCTACGTTACATGGCTTTTTTTAAGTCAGCTTCTCTCCTTTCCCCCCAAAATCTACTTCCTAGCAATAACCATTGTTGTATTCTAGACCTTTCCAATTTTCTTCTAAGTGTTTGACAGGAAATGGAATGTTTTCCCTTCTCAGTCAACTATGCCTTTTTCATGTTAGCGCGTTAAAAAAACTCTTTCTTCAAAGGTGTAACCGAGGGGTTGGACAGACAGCTCGGTGGCTTAGCGGCACTTGCTGCTCTTGTAAAGGACCGGAATGTGTTTTCTAGTTTCCATATTGACAGCCACAACCATCTGTAGCTCTAGCTCCAAAGGATCCAACTCACTTTTCTGGCCTCTCCTGGCTTCTACATTCATGTGCATCTCCTTCCCCCACATACACAATTAAGACTAAAATAACATAACTTAGAGCAACAACAGTACAACTGAGGTGACTAACAGAAAACAAAACATATGGTATGGTGTAATATATATATGTATGTATGTATGTATGAATGAAAGAATATAGATGAAAATGCTACTAGGAAAGTCATTATTTTGTTTGCTAACATAAAAAGTTAATTAAAAAGAGAGCAAATTCCTTTCAAGTAAAAACACTAAGGTAAAGTTCAGATAACATAATATTAAACATCTTTGAAGTGAACAGAGTAGTGATGTCATAAGACTATTTCCTAATCCCAAACACTTTCTTCATCTCCAAAATGACTCCCTGGCAATGGCTACTGTGGGACTCTGAGGTCTAGGTACGTATTCAGTGGCCACCTGATGAACAGCGGAATCATTGCTGGCAGCTGGTTATTACAAGAAGTGCCCGAGGGAACACCTTTTGTGTGTTTGCGTAAATATTATAAATATTTATGGAGGCAGATTCCTTCAGTCTGAAAACTATATAAAGTTTTATTCATTTTTATTGCATCTCATTTGGGCTCCAGGGGTTTCTAAGATGTCTTCTATGCTCAAGCAAGCACTCCAATAGTGACACTCGATGCTAAAATGTGTTACCAAATTTACCTTCAAACAGGCTGTTCAGCAGTACTGCTCCCAGATAGGAACAGGCTAGCACATGCCTGCACTCTCATCCAGGAAGTTTTATTCATCTCGGAGGCAAAAATCCCTGTACCTGAATTCTAGTATCATGTTTTGAATATAAGAAATAGTGGACCTATTTTTTCCTCAATATATGTTTTTATTTAAATTGGAAACATGAATGCTTCACATGTCAATCCCAGCTCCCTCTCCCACCCCTCCTCCCTTGTCCCTCCACCAGCCCCCCAGCCCCCCACCCAATCCCCACATCATTCCCCAGGGAGGGTGAGGCCCTCCTTGGGGGGGTCTGTAAAGTCTGTCATTTCATCCAGGGAAGAACCTAGGCCCTTCCCCATGTGTCCAGGCTGAGAGAGCATCCCTCTATTTGGAATGGGCTCCCAAAGTTCATTTGTACACCATGGTAAACACTGATCTACTACCCAAGGTCCCAGTGATTTCTGAGGCCTGATATATTCTTATGAATTTATTAAGATATTCTCAGTCAGTTGGAGATTTTCTTCATTGCCACACGGGGAAAACAAGAGTGAACTACCCTAAAGGCACTTTCCCTTCTGAGTTTTTTGTAGTGACTGCCAGTCTTGGGGTACAATGAGAATTAATTACCTCAAGGATCCTTCATACATCTATCCTCAGCCCTTAGGATGTAATCTTTCCAATTCTCACATCACCCACATAAAGTGGACTCTGTTTTCATTTTGCCAATGTGGGAACTGAGGGGTGTGTGTGTGTGTGTGTGTGTGTGTGTGTACGAGCACACGCACTAAGGCACTTGCCCAGACAGGATCCAAAATATGCATTTTGTTTCAAAAGTCTGGCCTCTTTTTATGCTGCTAGTTCGAGGAAATCATAGGCTGTTTGGAGGTTTCAGTGAGAAAAGGTCCATTTCCTACCTTCTAGGAAATAAATTTGGCTTAAGGTGATGGGGGAAGTCCTGTGTATATGTCAATAAAGCACTGTTGGACAATAGGGAAGCAAGATAGGTAGGACTAGGAGT